GTGGAAGGAGGAGAGGCGCGTGCGGGGGGGGGGGGGGGGGAACGGTACGTCAACGCAACTGAAATTTGGAGAAAATGGAATTTTTGTTGAAAGTTTGACAGCGCTTTTATTATTTTTGTGCTTTTTTACACCCAGAAAGTCATTGCCCGCCTGGCTACGATTAAGTTATTTAAACAAACATGTTGCAATGGCAGAAAAAAATTGTGTGTCTGAAAACTGGACATCCTGGGGGTACTTGTCATTTCAAAAAAAATTTTTTTTTTGAAAAAAGGGGACTTTACATATTAAAAAAAAAAAAAAAAAAAAAAGTTGAGGAACACTGCTCTAGAATCTCTCTGCCACAGGCCTCCTGCCCAGCCCTTCCCTTGGCTTCTGGCACCACCGTGTGGCCGTTGGCTGTACTCGGTGAGACGCTGCAGCTGACTGATCCAGTGGAAGGAGACAGGCACCCACCACGAGGCAGAGACAGGAGAAACGCCCGTCCCCCTTACCTCCAGGGAAACTGGCTTCCCGCTGCCTGGGAGTTGGAGGCTGGCTTAGCGAGTCCAGCGCTTGGCTTTCTCTTCCATGCAGCTCTGCTCAAAGTCAGTGGCCACGCTGAAGCTCTCCCAGGGCTGGAGTTGACAAAACAAAGTAACCCTGACGGTTTCCCATGCCCTCTAGGGGAGGAAGCTCTGTGAGAGCGGCCGCAGGCTGCACGTAACGCTCCAGTTGCTCAGTCCCTGCCAGGCAGTGTTGCTGCTGCTGCAGTCAGGGCTGGCCTGCAGTTTGGGAGCTGAAATAGATGTTTTCCCATGGGTGCTGAGTGCCTGATGGGCCATTTCAGAGGCACCTGTGCTGTGGACGTACCCAATATTAAAAGTCTCAGAGTGATCGTCGTGTTAGTCTGTAACTTTAAAAAAACAAAGAGTCGTCCTGTCGCACCTTAGAGACTGACTCTCTCTCTTCTGTTAGTCTCAGATATTAAAAGAGACGGTATTAATTTAGGCACTAGAATCGAGACGCCGGAAAAGGCAGTGGGGCTGCGGCCGGTGTTCCCTGTAAGCTGGGCATTTGGGCAGCTGCCTAGGAGAGATTCACATGCCCCCCTGCTGATTAGTAGTGTGCCCGCAGTTGCCTAGCATGTGTTTCTACTGGTGGTGCACATTTGCACATGCCTTGGTGCACAGAACAAAATTTAATCCACACGTGGGTGGAAAAAAATGAGAGGGAACACTGCTGCAATGCGGCTGTCCCAGATGCTAAGTGACACGGGGAGACAGATTGTATTTAGTGCCTTGGGGCAGGGCTGCAGCAGCCTCAGTTAGGTTCTGAGGCAAACTTTCATCAAGGCCAGCCACAATGCTTTCCCCTGGGGAAGCAGCGCCATCTCTTTTCCAAGCACTGGCTCGGATTGGAAAAGCAGGGCTTTCCCCCTTCCTTGAGAGAGAGAGAGAGAGGACACAGACCCCTGGTGCCAGTGGGAATCAAACGGAGGCTCGCCTGTTTAGGAGGCAGGTGATGGAGACCTTAGCTCTGATGTCTGGGGGCTTGCTGCTAACACCACTGGCCGCTCCCCAAAGACAATACAGCCAGCAGGCTATGAAGCATTTCTCCAGTTCCTGCAAGGACCTACAGCTGTGGCGCAGCCGGCGGCTCTGTGCATGGGGCCTGTGGAAAGGGCTGCTGGCGAGGGCTCCGAGGCTGCCCGCCGTAACCGTGTAGCCCTGCAGCTGCAAAGTTTGAATCTGTTTGAATCCATGTCATGGCAACCCGTCTCCCGGGCCAGGCCTTGGCTCTGTGCCCTTGACTCAGCAGTTAACAGAAGCTAATAAACAAGAGATGCTTTTCTGGGGAAAATGCCAGGAGTGCGAGGACACGGAGCAATTTATCATGGCAAGAGGTTAAACAGCTGTCCCCCTTTCTGCCCATTGGAGCTGGCAGCAGCAAGGGCCCGGTTCAATACCTAGGAGTTCCTTGTCAACCATGCAACACAAAACCGGCTCGGGCCCCCACCTCGTGCCCTGGCACAATTACACACCACCCCTGGGTGCTTCTCCTGGGGCAAGCACGGGGTCAGAGTGTAAGAAAAGAGACTTCTGGTAAAAGGAGGGAAGTAATCCCGGATTAACCGGGAAGAATGCTGCAGTGAGGATTCATAAACATGAGCCACCCAGGTCCAATCCGCATGATGTAACGATGACACTCCCTCCTCCCCCCGAACGCCTTCTACAAAGCCAAAGTTCCACATATAAGGAAACGAAAGAACGAGGGGCTCAAAGGAGAACAAGAGCCAAAGGGAGGATTAAAACAGCGAGGGGCAGGGGTCCGTCTACCTGATCTGAAGGGAA